TTTTAGAAGGGCCGTCCTTCAGATTGAATGGGATGAATTACTAACTGGAACTGATCAGGATGAGGATAGTCAAATTTTCACAAAAAAACTTGAAAGAACAATGACAGATTTTAGCTGTACTTTAAAGCCTAAAAACAAAAAACATACAGTCCCCTGGATGAACTCTGATATTTTAAAAATAATAAAAAAGCGGGATCTTGCTTTAAAAATTGCACATCGATCAAAGCTGACTCATGATAGACAACATTTCACTATGTTACGAAACAAGGTGGTAAAGTGTATGAGAAAAGCAAAGGCAGATTTTTTCCTGAGAATAATTGAAGAAGCAAGAGGTAACTCCAAATTAATATGGAACCAATTGAACTACTTAAAAGGAGATAAAAGAAAAGATAGGTCATCAATTGAATTAATGGTAAATGGAGAAATGATTAATAAGCCAGCTGATATAGCTGAAGTATTTAATAATTATTTTGTGGACTCTGTAGTTTCAATCACACAGTGTTTTTCTCCCAATTATTCAGAAGTTCATCAAGTAAATACAGTAGAACAAGCTTTTTCTCTAGGGTTAGTTTCCGAATCAGACGTCAACAGAGCAATTACATCTCTTAAATCATCCAGAGCAAAAGATATATTTGGGATGGATGTGATACTTTTAAAAAACATTAGTGAGTCTTTAGTAAAGCCGATCACCAAAATTATTAATCTGTCCATTTCTTAGGGGATGTTCCCCAGTGCTTGGAAATCATCTGTCATTGTGCCTATATTTAAAAGTGGCGATCCACACTCTTCAAGTAATTACAGACCTATCAGTATTTTACCTATAGTTTCAAAGATTGCAGAAAAACTGATAGCCACACAAATTACAAATTACTTAAATAATAGTTCTTTTGCTTTACATCCATTGCAGTTTGGCTTCAGAGCAAACTACTCAAGTGAGATGGCAAATTGCTACTTTACTGAAAAAGTAAAGTCTTTATTAGATAAGGGGGGTATTGTTGGGGCTGTGTTTCTTGATTTTAGGAAGGCTTTTGATACTGTAAATCATAGAATTCTCATGTCCAAATTAGTTGGTTTTAACTTCTCACCACAAACTTTAAAATGGATAGAATCTTACTTGTCTGGTCGCACACAGTGTGTTAATATACAAAATTACAAATCTGCCCCTCTAGGTATATCCACAGGTGTTCCACAAGGATCTATCTTGGGCCCTTTACTTTTTACTTTATATATCAATGATCTTCCATCTATGTGTCCTAACAATAACATACAAATGTATGCGGATGACACTGTTATATTTATTCATGGTAGTAGTGTGTTACAAGTTGCAGACAGACTCACAGAATCACTGGTACATCTTTCAGCCTGGTTAGATCAATGCTGTTTACAGTTGAACATCTCTAAAACCGTGTGTATGTTTTTTTCTAAGAATGGTAGGCTAAGTGTAGTACCAGATGTATTTGTATCAGGGGAAAGATTACAAGTTGTATCTGAGTACAAGTACCTTGGAGTTTTAATAGATTCAAAACTATCATTTCAGTCTCAGGTTAAAAAGGTTTGTAACCGGGTCAGATTCAGTTTAGAAAATTTTAGATTTATTCGTGATCAGATGTCATGTGAGGCTGCTCTAATCTATTATCACTCCATGATCATTTCTCACATCACTTATTGTTTAACCGCTTGGTCCCAAGCCAGCATCACTACTCTGAAGCCACTTAAATCTTTATACAAACAATCCATAAAAACCCTTGATAAGAAATCAGTTCAATATCACCACTGTTTAATATTAAAGAAATACAACCTGCTTAGTTGGGAAAATTTAATTACATATGTACATATCTGTTTAATGTTTAAGACTTTACATAACCCGACTTCACCATTAAATCAGTTTATAAATATTAGAACGACTGCTCAACGAACTACTAGAGGAGGTGACAGAGGAGACTGCATTATTCCTCTCAAAAAAAGCAAATTCAGTCAATCTGTATTTTCAGTGAGAGCTGCTAGGGAATGGAACTCCATCCCACCAACAATTAGAAGATCATGCACTTTTCGTTCTTTTCAATCTCATGTTAGAAATTGGTTATTGACAAATCAGCATTGTCAGCATTAGTACTGTATTCTAGACACATCTGTACTGTTGTCTTTGGCTTTTTGTCCTCTGCTCCCATCAGTCTGTTCTTTTTTTTTTTTTTTTTTTTTTCTATTTTTTCTTTTCTTTACTTTTTTAACTGTATTTCTATATTCTATATTCTATATTCAATACACAATTTACTCAGCCTATATTAAACAATAAACATAACAAAAACTGCCTGCTGATGCTTGGGTTAATCTTCAAAGAGAACAGTGTACTTTATAACCTCATTCACCTCATCATGCTTGCTGTTTCACACATAACAATGAAAACATCATATGAGGAAATTTGTTTAATTTTTATATTATGATTAACAGACACCAAACAGCCTCGTGTAGCTACATATTTATATGAATCTTCACTCTGCATATTTATAACAAAACAGGGCTTAAATATAACAGGCTTTTTTTAATTTTCATTGAAAAAAAACAAACTTTAACTTGTCTAGTTTGCAGAATATCAGTTTTAATAATCAATAATGGCTATTATAAAAGTATAACATACCATAAATTTATATGATAAAGGCAAGCAATCAATCAATGTGCAGAATCAGTGTACGTGGTTACATAAATTAATATATTAGCTTATCTTTGCACTCTGCCAAAACAGAGTTACCTGAGAACAAGTGATTCAAAAGACAGAAGAGTCGTTAGATAGAGACAACAAGATGAATTTAATATCACGTTTAACAACTATAGTGAGATGAGAACCAGCAGTAGATCTTTGATGAACTGTCCGACATGCACTATACTCTCACCTGGGGTTTACGCTCAAAGGCACCCACTGACCTACTGCTGCAGCTGTTGGCAGCGTGTGTGTGTGTGTGGTCACGTGATTTGTGTTTTTAGCCGTGTACTAGTATGAACGGAGAACTGAAATGAAAATGAAAGAGTAATGTTGAAATGAAACTCAAGTATTTACAATGTGTCGAGTTACATGAAAGAGCTCCAGATGGAAACTTTTGTTTTGTGTTTACCTTATAGTTAAAGTTGTTGCACGTCAGCTTGTTCTCGCCTCTGAATGAGCGAGTTTGAGCTACTTGTAGCATTTAGAAAAAACAAAACACCTGCGAAGAAACTCAACGCAAAGGAACATAAGAACCTATTGCCTGCTAGCGTTTCAGAAGTGTTACTGCAGCATGCAGACGTAATGTATTTCAAGAGTTTCCACTTAGATATGCTTGGCACCTATAGCAGGTTTGGCATGCTGTCCTGGGAGAGAACCCTGAGCTCGGAGATATTTGAGCCCAGGGCTCCCGCCCGGTCTAGAAGCATATCAGGAGAACCGAGATCAGGTAGGTCTCGATCGCTCCCCCTTTAGAAGGGGAGAAAAAGGAGGTGATGGGGTGGAAGGTGGGATTCTTCCAAAACGAAGATAGTGCAATAATGAGAAAGTGATCCATTTATATTAAGCTAGGATCATTCTGATTGGATTATTACTGATTACGGATGAGTGGCCAGCGGTGCACAATCATATCACATGCTCCTCTCGAAATTAGTTTATGAAACTTTACTTATTGAAAATTAGAAAAGGTTGGTCAGTTAAATTATGCTACTGTAGCGTTTATTTAGCAAATAATTCTCCAGTACTGATCGCAGAACTGTTAACATCAGAGCTATTGGATACTAGATCTTTTATAATTTAGCACTGCTAGTTTCTGTACCCATCCCTAATTAGCAATTTATGAATCCACAGACCTTACTATAGCAGTCATTGTACTTTTGTTCAACTGACGGACGCTTTTACTCAATGTGTCTTGCTACTTGTGCTGAGTTTAAATAGATTTTGTTGAAATTCTGTTTTGATTATTCTGACATAATTCACAGTGTCACTTATTTCAGAATCATTTATTCAGCAAAATAAAAAGTGAAGTTATATCTATTCAACATATTTGATATTGAGTGAGAAAACGTCCTTTAAGAGAATCTTCATACAGGGGTTTGTGGATGAGAATGATTAGTCAAGTCATTCAAGATGGTGGTGGTGATGTACAACTGTAGTTTAAAGGGTCACGAAACACCAAAACACATTTTTTGAGCTGTTGACAGTCGTATATGTGTCCCACACTGCTAAAAACACTGTTAGGACACCTATATTTCACTTAAAAGTGTAAATTGGTTGTTTTTGCGTTATTTCAAGCAAATTTGTACTTCCGGTTTGAAACGAATTTTTGAAGCTGCGTCACGGTCATGACATAATAGCGTGTATTCCAGCGTGTAGACTGGACGTCTGTGCCAGAGTGTGTCTTATTACGTCTTACAGTGTGATGCATTAATGCATGAGTAAGGCTTGGTTCAAACCAATCAGCGCGCTCTATTGTGCAACTTCATTAATATTCATTACTGTCACAGTGTTTAGACGACAGACACACCACGTTGTGTTGGCAAAACAAGCGTGAAGTGTTGCTTTTATAGTTTGCTGCAGTTAAGTTTTGTTTTCATTTTCTCTCAGTGAGAGCTCAGTCTCACGTGTGGATTAACAGTGTACGCGACGCTCGAAAACAATAACTTACGTGTCTAAGGAGGATTATTGTTTACCTGAGAGCTGTTCTCATCTGCAAACGCTGAGATCCGGATTCGCTTTAGTCTCCTCTTAATAAAGACGCGGCTCTTGTTGCTGGTGATTGTCCTGTCTCTACAGATTTGGTAAGTAAGCGACCAGCGCTCTTTGTTTATTCAGTTTGTTCGTATCGAACTAAGTTAACCATTGCACCGAGTGTAAACATGTTAGCACCACAACCAAACTTAAACCTCGTGTAGGGTTTTCACCGCATGTATCAATCATTGCATGAAAAAAACACCACTTTTCTGACTTTTTCCAAAGTAGAGGTGTGAAAACACCCTGCTGAAACGAGGGGGTTTCATGGCCCTTTAAGAAGTATTCCACTTTATTTTATGTCCTTTTCATTGCTCTTACAGTAACCACACCCAGGTGTTTCCACAAGTGTAAATGCATCGTGTGAATTATAGATTGTGGTTTTGATGTGGTTTGACATCAAAGTGAAACATTTATTAGAGTTTTTGTACGGCTTCTCATATACTTTTTATCACTGGGCTCCTACTCTTAGAGCACAATAATAGAGAGCTGAATCTGACAGAGTTACACCGCTAATAGTGAGTTCAGTGGATGAGTCTGATGTAGTCGACTTAAAACGAGGATTATCGGGTCTCCCACCTCCACTACTTGATCGTGCAGCTTTGAATAATAAATACTGAGGTTCTCCATTAAGATATTGTCTGTACCAGTAAAGCCTAACATAACTGCTGCTTGTATCATATGAGCAACTGAAGGTCACTGTCTCCTCTTCCTTTACAGTAAGAGCTTCTTTATTTGGGCTAATCTGGTCTGCAGTCATCACACCTAAAATAAAGAAATATTATTTCTCACTGTTTTAAGCAAAATGGCCACAGCATATTTGATTAATCCCACTGTGATGAATCGAGTGCTATTGTACCTGGAGTCAGAATTAAAATGAGCATCAGTTGTTTCTCCATGTCTACTGGTCACATCAGGTGTGTGTATATAGATGTTCTCTGAGCTCTAGATCTGTGTTACAGTGAGTCTGCAGCTTCACGCACAAACACACACACACACACACACACACACACACACACACACACACACTGAGTGAACTTCCTGCTTTCTGTGAGATGAAACCATTGGTGATCCTTGTGTTTCTGCTCTGCCATCAATCAGATTTGTCTATTGCAGAAGACAAAATGTGCTACAAATGCATGCAATCATTAACTTTATTGATACACATTACTTGTGAATAATCTACATCAATATATTTAGGTAAATCAATATATTTTTTCATGTTTATTAATGGTATGAGTTTGTTATTGATCTCAGTGCTTGTTTGTAAGCTTTGCGGGTCAGTTCTTCTACTATTTACTGTTCAGCACTAGAGAACTTCCTGTTTTCTGTGAAAAGCTGCTGTGCATTTGCATCTTTATCCACATTGAGTTTATTCTGTGAAACACCACAAGCCTATTTTTCAGCCAATATTGCTGATTTACCTCTTTTCTCTTTGTGTGGTGAATTGTCGTGTGTATATTCATTAAAAGGAGTCAAAATGATAACGTCCACCTGAGAGACACATTACATGTGGGGGTTCTAATAAGTTTTTACACATAAATTTGTCTGTTTGTTAGTATAAATCAATACACCCCTCACTGATATTTTCTGAGATGTTTTACAATAATATATTTGTTCATAAATATTAGATTAGTCACCACCAAAGACAAAAAAAATTAACTAATCTAACAAAGATAACGGTCCAAAAATTTTTTTACACCAAATTTGATATTTTGGGGGAAACATTTAATAAAATTTTAATGTTCAGGAAAAATCTAAAGAAACATAAAAAATGTGATTTTCTTTTTTTTAAATGATGAACTTTGCCATTTTTATTTTTGAGATAACTCATTTGAATTAAAATGTATTATCTTTCTGTTCTTAAAAATGTTAGGTGACCAAAATCAAGCAGCATTAAATACATCTTCAAATCTTTTTATATTTTAGCTTTTCAACTTTTCTTCTTGTATTTTTATGGCCCTGTGGTTCATTTCTAAAGCAAAATACATAAATAAAAATTGTGTGTAAATTGTTAAAAATGTACAGATTTTTATTGATTAGAATTTTAGTTTAAAATTTGTATTTGTGAATGCTTATAATGACTTTAACTTTCAGAATATATAAAAAAAGAACTTTAGTTACAAAGTCAAGAGTCTTTGAATGTTTTCCATCAGACAGTTCTCAGTGTTCGTGTTGGTGTTTTGGAAATGTGAATCATTTTGTCCATCTTCTAATTGTATTCTGTTTGTATACCTTCATCAGCAGTTTAAACTATTGTAATAATTTTAATACTGTAATGTTTTCACTCAACATGTTCTAAACAAACACATCCTCTCAGCAGACCCACAACATCATAAGACATTAATATTAGGTTAGATTTAGGTCGCCAGCATCTGAGAACAATGTTATTTTGATGTCCAATAACGACGTGAATGTTGTAAATATTTTGTTGGTTTCAGATTGTGTTGGAGAATGACCAAAATCCAATGTCGAGCCCAGATCTTAAACCAACTTCATATTAACATCAAATAATGACATTTATTCCTCTGGTATGGCAACCAAAATCCAACATTTGATAGCCGTCTTAGTGGTAACATCCACACAACGTCAAGCGGTAACATCATTAGACTTTAATATTTTGTTGTTTTTAGGTTGCGTTGGACGTTACATTGACGTTGTACATTGATATCGACCTGACATTAGGTTCTGACATCAACCTGATTTTCATTTCCATAGAAATTGCAACATCCACACCCTGGGAAAACAATGTCAATCTGATGTCATGTTGACGTTCTCTGCCTGCTGGGCTGACATGTAATACCATAAAACATTTCTGCCAAGGATCAAAATTGATTTCTGTTACGATATCAAGAAGTTGTTACCCTAAACTTTGAGTTTAACATAATTCATGGCCAGTTTCCCAGCACAGTAATTATTAGTATAAAAGTTTAGTTTAAATCAACTTGTTGTACTATACTTCTATAATCATTTGTATAAACTATATAAAGTAATGTTGGTTGAAGCTCTGCACCCTGTTTAAAGACTTATTAAACTAAATCCAGAAGACAAAGCTCTTGAAACTGTTGTCTTATGTTGGTGTTTTAAAAGAAGAAACTGTATAATATAATGTTCACTTTATTATTTTTATTTATTGTCTGGATCTAAATCAGTTAAGCTTAATATTCTTTTGTTTATAGTCCAATAATATTGTTTGTGATATACAGTACAGTAAGTCCACATCTATTAGAGATGGTTTTGGTTATTTTGTTATTCTTGTCTTTCTCTTTTTTTCTCTCCTTTCTCCTGCAGCTTTCAGCAAATAAATTGAATCACTTACCACACACAGGTGTTTCAACAAGTGTGCACATATTTGTGTGAATTATAGATTGTGGGTTTGATGTGGTTTGATATCAAAGAGGAAAATAAATTAGAGTTTTTGTACGGCTTCTCATATACTTTGTATCACTGGGCTAAAACTCTTAGAGCACAATAATAAAGAGCTGAATCTGACAGAGTTACACCGCTAATAGTGAGTTCAGTAGATGAGCGTGATTTAGCTGTTTGAAATTTTCCACTACTTGATTGTGCAGAAGATACTAAAAACTGAGGTTCTCCATTGAGATACTGTCTGTACCAGTAAAGCCTAACAGTACTGCTGCTTTCATATGAGCAGCTGAGGGTCACAGTCTCCTCTTCCTTTATGACTGTGACATCTTTATTCGGCCTAATCTGGTCTGCAGTCATCACACCTGAAATAAAGAAATATTATTTCTTATTGTCAAATTTACCTTAACATATCTCATTAACCCCACTGTGATGAATCGAGAGTGCTATTGTACCTGGAGTCAGAATTAAAATGAGCATCAGTTGTTTCTCCATGTCTACAGGTCAGATCAGGTGTGTGTATAGATGTTATCTGAGCTCTAGATCTGTTGTACTGCAGTAGTTTCTGCAGCTTCACTCACACTGACTGAACTTCCTGCTTTCTGTGTGATGAAACTGTTGATGATCCTTGTGTTTCTGCTCTGCCATTAATAAGCAGAAAGTTTTTGCTTTTGAAACATTTTAAAATGTTTTATTTTGTGTCATCAATCTTGTTTTGTTTCCAGCTTTAGGTTTTACATCTCATGTTCAGTTCACCTCTGAATACAATAATGCTAGAGTTAATGCTCACTGAAGAGCTGATCCTCAAGTCATTTTGATCATTTTAGTTTTATTGGGATTTGCTTTTAAATCCGAAATTCATTCCAACTACATTTTGTTTGATGGTTAAGACACGTAATCTCTTTTATTTAAGAGTTTTGAGCAAGTTGCTAATGGTAAATCTTATGTGTAATTCTCTGCCAAAGGATATAAATTAAATCAAAATCAGGTGTTTTTTATGATATACAGCTAGTTTGTTAGTAGCCTCAGTCCATGTTTTTCAGATTTGCAGGTCAAATATTTTAGTGTGACATTTACAGACTGAAATGCCACCCATGGGCGTAAATCTGATTTAACAGTAGGGGGGACATTAAATATAAAATTTCTTTCGAGCATTTTTTTGAAGGGGACACAAATAATACAGCCGAATTTTACTAATAAAGATATGTTCCCTCAGTTAAAAATGGTTTCGTTATAATTATTAGTATAGCATGGAGACTTCATCATTATGATTATTTTCAAAGTTTTTCTCAGGTTCAATGACAGCAAATTTTTCTTTAAAACTATTTATTGCATTGTTTGTTGTGTTGTTTACAATCAAGACTCCTGAAGCAGAATAAATGCAGGAAAAGACATTTTCCATACTCATAATAACTAACTTTAAAACATTAAAATAACCAATCATATTGTAAATCAGTGAGCCTGTGAAATGTGCTAAACAGCCACAACTCAGAAAACATAAAAAAAAATTGTTCACCCCCCAAAAGAATTATCATTATCCCTTCAATAAAGCACAACACCCTTACCTGACACTGTACATCTGACTGACCCTGCTCTGCATGATCCTCAATCATCTCTTTCTCCTTCGCCTGTGATTAATATTATGACATTAGTATTTTCATAAGCACTCATTCTGAAAGCCAAATTTCTTAATATGTGAAGTTTTTGTACTTGGCGTTTAGCTGCACTGAACAATTATGTCCATTTTCTCTGTCATTTTATCCAATGCATGACACCAGGCAAATTTATTTATGCTGTAGCACATTTTATACTGTTACATATTGAGTAACAGTATTTTTGACAATGCTAGTGTGTATTTTTCCTGTGTGTGTTTCCTCCATTATCTATCTCTTTCTCTCTCTCTCTACATGAGCGGAGATCAGGTGCAGCTGAGAGAGGGGCGGCGCCAGCTATAAAGGCACACAGTTGACGCTCCTCATCGAGTTCTCTTACTGTTTTCCCTTGCAATTGTTTGTCTGAGCAGTTCGCTCTGAGTTCTCTGTGCGGCAGTGATCTGTCTGAAACCTTTTTTTTTTTTAAGTAATCTGGTGAGATACTCTGTTAAATACAGTAATAGGACGGTAAGCTGCATTAGCGGTGGCTGATTGTGTAATGCCTTTCTCCAACCCTGTTTCAAAGTCATCTGGTGAGATACTCTATACGGTACTAGGACGGTATCATGTGTTAGCTGTGGCTAATATTTACCATAATGCTAAATGATCAAAGGGAAGGCCCTTTTTCTTTTGTCCAGTTTTCTCCTGTTTTGTGGTTAGTTATTGAGGGTAGAATTGTATGCTTAATTTATGGAACTTTATTTTTGGTATAGGTAAGAGGTTTAATATTAGGTAGCGTACCTTGTTTTTTTGTTGTTTTGGCCTTTTTGTTCCCTGATTCTGATTTTGACCTTTTTGTTTAATAAATTTGATACCCCTTTTTGACAACTTGGCCTGTGTGTGTGTGCTTGGGGAGCAGGAACGGGGACTCCGGGTGACCA